TGACTGAGTGTGGAATCATGGGAGTTGTCATCTTCATCCCCACAGCCGATGCAATCCGACGGGACTCGGGCAGAAATCATGTTCATGGATGAGCTAATGATTTGTTAATGTAGTAGAATGAAGCAGGGTGAGGCTGAAAGCCGTCAAAGTGAAACGAGGCCGCTGAACGAGCGTGACGCATGGCTCGAAAGCAGCGGCGCTTTTATTATGCCACAGTCGACCGCTTCCGCTCCTTCCGGTCGTGCGTATGTGGGGGGGAAAAGCAGCGCTGTTTTATCATACTAGATACATTTGAAAGTTCTGTTATAATGCTCCTCTGTGCGGTCATCACCTGTCTAATAAACCGCACAACATATTAAAGCATCTTTGGTGTTTCAAAAAACACCAAAGATGTTTGGAAATCGAGGGGTTATGACGTCATTGGCAGGCAACACAATGACACTATGGACACGGTCAGTGTCACTAGTTAAAATTGCTTATTTCTCTGGATTTAAACATTCTTCGAAACATTTGGGATAATGTAAGTACACGTCAGCAAAATATATAACACTGTTCTAGTGGTTTTTGGATATTTTAATTAAAAAATCGTACATTTTGTGCCTTTAAGGTGTGCATTCTACAATAACATCTTCTTGTGTATTTGTGACAGAAGAAAATGCAAACATGACCCAGATGATTTTGCTGCATCTGAGGGTGTTTAACTACATCCAAACAATGAGAGAAAATAACAGATTTTGTACTTATTTAGAAACTTGTGTTCATATAGAGTTCTTTGACATTGAAAATGTGTATTTGAACATATTTTTTCCACTGCTTTGCAGACTGTGAGTTAAATTATACATTTTGAGTACTCTGCTTTTGTTATTTGATAAGTGCATTAAAGCTGATGCATACTGTATATCATTTTTAAAATCTTCATACTTCAAAGACATTCCAAATTTTTTTTCAAAATATTAGGCATTTTTTTCACAAATCAGGGCTATTTTATTGATTTTTCATGAATACGACAATGGCATTAATATTAAAATCAAACTCAAACTTTAATATTCTTGATCATTCCAATTTCAGAAAAAAATCTAATGTACAATGGGTCTAGTGTGTTCACCAGCTGCACTCAGAAAACAAGTATCTTTCTCTCTCCTCAGGGTTCAGTGCTGAGATCTCTGTGTTTGTGCAGACGGGAGCTTCTGTTCAACTGGATATACAGACACAACAACAACTACCAGAGTTTGATCTTTTATCCTGGATCATTAATAAATCAGAGAGTATAGTTAGATATAACAGTGATTCCAAAAGAGTAAAACCTCACGATTCCTACAAGAACAGAGTGGATTTCAATGATACAACCTTCTCTCTGACACTGAAGAACATGCAGAAGACAGACAGTGGACTCTACACAGCAAGAGCAAGTGGATTAATAAATAAACATTGTGTCACATACTGTTACGGGGCTGACGAGACGTGAGACTTGCGGATC